GCGCGAAGGGGCGACGCGGCCATAGCGAGCTGCGGTCTACCTGGGATCGTACACCTGGGCAACGCAGAGCCCAGGAAGAGAGGACCCTGCAGGGCGCGCTTGGAGGGGTAGCGAGCTCCGGTTTACTTCTCATGCTTGTCTATAGTTCAAATGTTACAATTCACGTGTTTTATTTTTTATAATAAACTTTCAAAATAGCTTTGAACGTTATGTTACTTCTGAGTTTGCGCAGCGCCACGCGGTGCTGCCGCCACTAGCCACGTGTGGTGATTTAAACTTGATGAAAGTTAACATTCAGTTCCTCTTTTAACTCGGAGCCACAAAAATCGCATAGATGTAGTGTTAGGGGTGCCCTGAGAATCGCTCCTATTTTTTTCAATTGTGAGTAAAGGGCTGGGATATAAAGCCCTTGGATTTCCCAGAATGTAAGAAGGTAAGCACGTTCAGCAAACTTTGACAGTGGGGACAGCCAGTCTTGCTGTTTGATTAAAAAGGACAGTGTGAGGCCCCCACGTGGCAGTGAGCGCTACTTACCTGCCCTACACGGTGCCTGGGTGCTGAGGCCTCAGGACCTTGGCCTGGCCTAGCCATGTGCTGCAGGCAGGACACCTGGGGGAAACCTGCCCAGCCTGCAGCCTTCCTGTGTTGAGTTTCCCCATCTGCCGGGAGGGTGGCTGAGACTGTGCGGTGTCAGGACAGGGCAGCCTTGTATGACCTCTCAGATGTGATCACTATCATTGCTCTTGCCCTTAGCAGCTGTCAGATAACTCAGGATTTGGATCAGAAGCTGCATTGCCTGAAATGAGTCAGAAAGTGGGAGACAGTTGGGGTGGTTGGGGGCAGAGCCCTGACTGCACTGCAAGAAGAGTTGCTGCAAGCCTCCGTGATACTATAATTAGGAGAGCTGCACTTTCTGGTTTCAATAATATAGAATGGACTGAAACTAGTGATGGGGAAAGCCTTTAAAAATTAAACTATTGAGCCCTTGTGAGTGTTGCTGTTTTGATTATCATCTGGTAAATATGAAAGGTGTGCACAGTCTGTGAGTTCGTCATTGGAGTTTGCTTGTCTTCACGTTTTGGAAATAAATGCCAGTGGAGTCGAAGGGCAGTGCTGGAGGGCTCCAGGAACCGGGCCGCTGGCTGCATCGCACCTGTCTGTCTGGGAAGGGGCAGGGCCTGCCTCTCCCTCCTTCCCTGGGACCCCATCCCCAGTTCCTCCTGCAGACCCGGCTTCCAGGGAGGCCGGGAGCAGGAGGCCAGACCACCACAGTGTGAAGGCACAGGGGTGAACCAGACCCATGAGGTTTTTAAGTTCTGGGTCATAAACACTGAAAGTTTGAAAGCTGCAGCCTACTGAGAGTTACAGCTTCTGTTTACTCCAAAGCCTGAAGTCAGTCCTGAGTCTGCTGAGACAGGCGAGGGAGCCTCCAGGGAGGGCCGCTGTCTCCACAGGGACTCTCCTGAATGGGATTAGTGCTCTTATAAAAGGGGCCCCAGAGAGACCCCTCATGCCCTGCCCTACGTGAGGACATGGGAAGGCACCATCCATAAACGAGGAAGCCCTCATCAGACGCCAAACCTGCTGGCATCTTCATCTTGGACTTCCAGCTTCCAGAGCAGTTAGCAATAAATTCCTGTTGTTGATGAGCACCTGGTATAGGTATTTCTGTTATAACAGCCCAGCTGGTGTTTGATGAGCACCTGGAAAACAGGGTGGTCCTCGGAGAAAGACGGAGCCTTGATGGAGGACAGAGGAACCAGCTTGCGGGCTCCCACCAGCTGGAGCTTGGCCGTGAGGACAGTACCAGACCCTAACCCCAGCGTGGAATAAATACTGAGTCCACATGGATAGAAATACATAATCGGGTAAGTGGGGAGACAGGGCTGCTCTTTCTGACAGTGGAATTCCAATTAATAAGCGTGGAAGGAGGCCGGGCGCGGTGGCTTACGCTTGTAATCCTAGCACTCTGGGAGGCCGAGGCGGGCGGATTGCTCAAGGTTAGGAGTTCAAAACCAGCCTGAGCGAGACCCCGTCTCTACTATAAAAGTAGAAAGAAATTAATTGGCCAACTAATATATATATATATATATATATTAGCCAGGCATGGTGGCATGTGCCTGTAGTCCCAGCTACTCGGGAGGCTGAGGCAATAGGATTGCTTGAGCCCAGGAGATTGAGGTTGCTGTGAGCTAGGCTAACGCCACGGCACTCACTCTAGCCTGGGCAACAAAGCAAGACTCTGTCTCAAAAAATAAATAAATAAATAAAAAATAAGCATGGAAGGAACTAGAAAATCACTATTGTCTGTTACAGACAGGTGCTAAAAGCAGTGGGAGAGACTGTGAGGTGTCACAAGATTTGCATGGTCTCAAAACATCTCCAGGATACTTACAGTACTTTTCTACTGCTGCCATAACACGTTTCCTCAGACTTAGTGCCAGGAAAATGCAAATGCATTCTCTTACTGCTCTGCCGGTCAGAAGTCCATCCTGGCCTCACTGGCTCGCTAAACCAAGGTATCTGCAGGGCTGGTTCTTCTGGAAGGTCAGGGGAGAATCCGTCCTTTCCTAGTGCCTAGAGAGAACGAACATCCCTCGGCTCTTGGCCCAGCCTCTACTGCAGCGGGCCTCTCCCCCTGACACTGACTCTCCTGCCTCCACTTTTAAGGACCTCGTGACACAAGGCCCGTCGGATGATCCAGGGCAGTCTCCTCGTTTTAAAGTTGACTGATGAGCAAGCTCCCTCCTGTCTGTAGCCTTAGTTCCATTCCCCTTTTCCATGTGGCCAAACACATTCCCAGATTCCGTGGATTAGGACATGGACATCTCGGGGTCAGCCATGCTGCCTCTCCAAATATTTATTAACTACAAAGGGAAAGGTAGTTTAAAAGTGTAGAAACCAGGTCAATGTCACCAATAACAGGACATGCTGGTGCCAGGACCCCTGGAAGATAATTCACTAGGGACACACGTCATTTTCTAATACTCTTGCCAAGAATGCATAACCCAGTCCAATCATGAGAAAACATTAGACAAACCCAAACTGAAGGACGTTTGGCAAAATGACTGATCAATATTCTTCAAAAGTACAAGGTCATAAAAGACAAAGAAGCCGGCGTGGTGGCACCTGTGGTCCCAGCCACTCAGGGGACTGAGGCAGGAGGATCGCTTGAGCCCAGGAGTTGGAGGCTTCTGTGAGCTGTGATGACACCACTGCAGTCCACCCTGGGTGACGGTGCAAGACAATGTCTCAAAAAAAAAAAAAAAAGCTTGGGGGTAGGGGGGAAATGGGCATTTATTGAAACCTTAAAATCTGTACCCCCATAATATGCCGAAATAAAAAAAAAAAAAAAAAAAAAAGCTGTGTGTGGTGACTCACACCTGTAATCCTAGCACTCTGGGAGGCCGAGGCAGGTGGATCGTTTGAGCTCAGGAGTCCGAGACCAGCCTAATCAAGTCTGAGGCCCTGTCTCTACTAAAAATAGAAAGAAATTACTTGGACAGCTAAAAACATATAGAAAAAATTAGCCGGGCATGGTGGCGCATGCCTGTAGTCCTAGCCACTCAGGAGGCTGAGGCAGGAGGATCACTTGAGCCCAGGAGTTGGAGGCTGCAGTGAGCTGTGATGATGCCACTGCACTCCATCCAGGATGACAGTGCAAGACTCTGTCTCCAAAAAAAAAAAAAAAAAAAGTGGAGCCTAACACTCCTCCCTGGAGGGGGGGGGGTGTGCTTAGGGACTCACTGCTAACAAAGAGAATGAGACTTCCAGGGTCAGAATGTGCCTCTTCCCACCTGCTCCCTCTTGGACCACTGGCTCTGGGGCCCAGCAGCCCTGTTGTGACGACCCTCAAACGGCCATGTAGAGGGTCCATGTGGTGAGGGACTGAGGCCTCCTGCCAGTCACCGTGTGCTCAACACCCTGACTACACCATGAGACCCCTGTGCCTGCCCTACAGGCACTGAGAGATGACGTTGGTTGCTTCACGGACCTATCCAGTTAAGAGGTAGTTAGCTCCACCTGGCTTCCCAGCAGGGGTACTTTGCTTTTGTTTGTTAGGGTAAAGCTGGTCAGTGTGTTCAGGGTTCCTGTCCCTGTCTGATGTTGGAGGCACCACAGGATGACTGTCACCATCCCCCTAAGAATTGGGCCGTGGCCTGCGGTCAGCCTGGCCTTGTGAGGGGCCAGGCCCATGTGTGCTCGTGTGTTGTGCACGTGTCTGCGTACCCCAGACACAGGCATGCAGAGCTCACACCTTATGAAAATATTTCCGGCAGTTTCCTCTCTCACCCTGCCACATGTCATCCCCTGCGACCTCTCGCGTCTCCGCTCCCTTCAGGGGCCGTGTGTCCTGGGTCCCGACTCCCACGTCTCCGTGGAGTGGGGAAGGAGTGGTGATGGTGAGAGCTGACCCAGGGGAGGGCCAGGACCGTTCCAGGCCGGGCTTCGGCCGGGCAGTGTGGATGTCCACCACAGACCTGCCTCCTTCCTGGGCGGCGCCCCCACTGGGCGCCCCGCTGGCTGCGTGGGACAGGCAGGTCCACCAGTCAGGGTGTCCCCTTTTCTCCTTTTGTTGCTCCAGGCCCCGTCCTGGTCTAGACTGAGAGCTGCAGGGCACACCCTTGGGGGCCAGTGGCTCCCCCACCTCAGGAAGACTCATGGCCCCAGGCTCAGTCCTGGGCCAGCAGGAAGCTCCTTGGGAGAAGCTGGGCCCTGGGGGGCAGCGGGGGTGGCCCCAGCCAGCCCCATGCCCAGCAGTGGGCCTCACCTCCTCCCTGGCCTCCACCCCTTGGGCTCCAGAGAGGAAAGTGGGCTTGCATGTCCTTCACATGCTCATTTCTGAAAATTGCCACTGTCACTAGAACAATGCATCCTCGTGGTGATAAAAACGAGATTCACACTGGCTCCAGCCTGGAGTTCCACGTGGAGCAGACACTCAGTGAGCTCACAGCCCACCCCCAACCCCACAGACACAGAGCACACACTGGGACAGTTAAGCCACTTCTTAAACACACAGGTTCTCCTTTAATTGTTCATTGATTTAATTTTCAAGTTCACTACGTGGATGAGATGGGTGCATATTATACTAGGCTTCTGCTATGAGAGAGCTGCCACCAGCCGCGAGATTCCAACCCTCGGTTTCCTTTCTGCTTCCCTTTCTGCGTCCCACAAAATGCACATGTGAGCACAGCTGGGTTCCGATCCTGGCTTGTTGCTCCCTCCGGAGGTTGTGTTGGTGGGGACAGAGAGGGGGCTGTGGGTCCCTGCGCAGTACCCCTAAGCCCACTGTAGGGGAGGAGTACCCACCCATGATCTCTGGCTTGGCCCCAGAAGACCCCTGGCAGTGCCCCTGCCATGGGATTTCTGTAGGATGGAGGCTGAGGGCTCGGGGGCTGGAGCCACCTGGTTTCTGGGGCCCTGGCTCTGGGCCATGAGAGCACTTGGAGTCTGTCTGTCCCCCTCACACTTCACACCAAGCAGACGGGCAGCAGGGACCCTGCCCTGACGTTCATCTGTGGGAGGGGTTGCCATGGAGAAGGGAGTGTTGCAGTGGCACAAAGACAGGCTCACTTTCACCCAGGCGGGTGACCATCCTCAAAGGCCAACATAGGGGATCTGCAGGCCCCTGGGGTGAGGGACAGGAACCCAGCCTAGGAGGTTGTTGGCAGTGGAGGCCTAGGGCCAGGTGTCCAACCCACAGCCCCTCCCTCCAGGAATTTCAAAAATGGACCAGGGGTAGTGAGGGGCTGGCTTGGGAATCCTGCTCCCTGCCCTTCCGACATTGGAATCTGCAGGCAGCTGGTCCTGCAGAATCCCTCTTGGGGGTCTCTAAAGAGGACTTGCAGCTGCCACTCACACCTGCCACACCTGCCTGGAGGCCAGCCTGAGAACCCCGGGCCAGGAGCACCATCCTAGGGGAGCAGAGTGCAGGGACGGGGCAGGACTCCAAAGGGCTGTGAGGACAGGTCTTCAAGGGCTCATGCAAAGCCCTGGGGGAAGGGGTGGTGGGACTGTCCCACACAGGTGCCTGGGCCAGGGGCTCTTCGAAGTGGGGGGGGGGACAGGGGCGTCCATGCTGCCCACAACCCTCTAGACCACCATAGCAGCCTGCTCATGGGTCCCTGGCAGAGAATGCCCACTCCAAGCAGACTCAGGCCAGGACATGCCCCCCACCCCATCCACCTGCACCAGCCCTGTAAGATGAGTGCAGGCTCCCAGGAAGGCGCAGGGTGCCCATCTCAGGCCAGGTGGTCAGTGCAACCAACCACATTAAAGAGTGCCGCAGCCCCCCACCCCCACCCACCAGTTTCAAAAAGTTCCTGGCACCCAGGCGCCCAGGGCGGCCTCAGTGACAGGGAGACCCACCCCACCTGCCCAGTGGTCATTCTTAGCCCAGCGCTTTCCTCCAAGGCCACTCCCCTCCCCATGCGGAGCCCTCCCCACAGGACGCGCAGGTGCCTAGCCCCTGCCTGCTGTCCGGTGGGCAGCCAGCTCGCAGCACATGCCTCCTGATGAGCAGGCAGCCCAGCGTCAGGCCCCTGAATCGTGGCTCCGCTGCGTCTAGGTCTCCACCGCACCCACGGAAACGGCCCCGAGGGGACCCTGGCCACCGCCGGCCACGGCTCGGCCTGGCGTCTGGACTGAGGCCGCGTCGCACGCCTGGGGGCCCCGCCGGGGAAGCGTGGCCAGCTCGCCACAAAGACCGGACAGCTCTGGGCGCAGGAAGCAAAGCATGAAGCCGGGAGTGTGGGGGAGGGGAGCAGGAACAAAAGTTGCATCTAGACAGGTTGAACAAAACGAAACCAAAACCCGAACGTGTTTTTGTCTCCTCTCGGGGTCCAGGCGCCACCGCCGCGTCCAGGGCCCTTAGCCGGACATCTCCTCCCGCTGCTCCTTGTTCCTGCGCACCTCGGCCGCGTGCAGCTCCTGCGGGGACAGGTGGGCGGAGCTGGGCCTGGGACTCGCGGACGCCCGGGAGAGGGCAGCAGAGGCCGCCCCAGGGGGTCTGACGAGGGGGCCGCGCCCCTCCCGCGGTCTGAGCAGGGCGGTGGCCGGGGACCACCGACCAGGGCCCTGGGGGCGGCCCCACCCCAAGCAGCCCCGCCCGCCGGCAGCTCGCCCCGGCACGTGCGCGCTTCGCGCGCTCCCGAGTTAGTGCCTGTGCACGCCCGCCCGCCCGCACCTTCTCGCGCAGCCGCTCGCGCAGCGCGGCCAGGTGCGCCTCGCGGAGCTCCCTGCTGAGCTCCATCTTGTGGTTGAGCTTCTCCTCCGCCTGGCGGCTGAAGTTGCTGTTCTCCTCCAGCGCCTTGTGCAGCACCTCGCGCTCGTGCTCGCGCCGCTCCGCCAGCTGCTTCAGCACCTGCGCCTCCTGCGTCTGCACCAGGCGCGCACGTGAGCGGAGATCAGCCCGCACGCCCGCAGCCCGCACCTACCCACGCCCTTGCCGGGCGCCCGCACCTGCTCGCAGCCTCAGCGGGTGCCTGGACCCCGGGGCTGTCTGCGAGGGCCGGCAGGGAGGGGGCCTCCGTGCCCCCAGGGCCCCTCCCGGATCAGCCCTTCCTCTGCTCCCAGCTGACCGTCACTGCCCGGCTGTCCCTGCTCCACCCAGTGCCCACTACCCTGCCCGCTGCCCCTGTCACGTGTGCTCCAAGAGCGCGGGCCTACGCTGTCCTGCCGTCAGCCAGGGTGACCACCTTGGCTGACCGCTTTGCCTGAGACTTCCCAGGCTTTGGCACTGAAAGTCCCGCTTGCTAGGAGACCCCTTCGCGCTTGCGCTTTTGGCTGGAGAGCTGCCTCTCTGCTCGTAGGCCAGGCGGCCTGGCCTGCATGGCAAGGCGAGCCCGGTCCTGCTGTCTGCCCCTCTGAAGTTCAGGGAACGCAGAGGGAGAGCAGAAAATTGTAAACCTGTGGGCTGCCACTGAGCTCTCTCCGCCTCTCTTCCCCACACATCCGCCCTCTGAGCCCCCAGCAGGTGCTTCCCACACTCCAGGTCTGAGTCCCCAGGGTCCCCAAGGGCTGTTGGCCCCGCGCTGCCTGGCCCTGCTGGGGGATGGGCTGCCTGTGCCAGTCCCTATTAATCTGCCCCATGCAGCCTGGGTTCCCAGGTCTCCCTGGGGCCTGCTAAGAGTGGGACGGAGCCACTTCCCCTGCCCGATGGCCATGGGCTCCAGGGTGGCACCCCACAGAGCACAGTCTTCTCTCTGGGCACTTCAGTCTCACAGGGGCCAGTGTGCGGGGAAGCAGCAGGAAGGGGCCCGGAGTCCACACTCACTTCTCCCAGGGCCCCAACAAGCTCCCCAGCAGCCCCCAACTCTGGGTCCTCAGATGCAAGGCCTTTCCTTCTCACTTTCCTGCCTGGGAGAGGGCTGCCCCCACCTGGTGTCCCAGGCTCCGTCCTGGAGACCACTGGCTGCCACGCTGGGACGCCCCCCCCTCTCATCCCATTCTGATCTGAGGTCCAAGGAGCCAGGCATCCCTCTCTGCCCCGGGCCAATGCTCTGGCCAAGCAGGGGGCTTGGGGCACCCTGCACTTTGGGGCCTGTCTTCCACGGCCTGGAGTGCGGTGGGGGTCTCCTTGCCTTTCTCCGCTCCTCAGCTGCCTCCAGCCGTTTCTGCAGCTCCTCCAGGGAGGTGTCCTTCTTCTTGGGCGGGGAGGAAAGCACAGGGCTCTCCGGCGACAGGTCAGAAGGAGACTTGAGGATGACCTCGAAGCTTTGGCCAGAGGCCCGCTTGTCCAGCTGCTTCACCTCCATGTCTGCAGGGCAAGACCAGACAGGGGCTTCAGGAGGCCCAACCAGAGGGGGTGGGCTCAGGGAGGGGGTGCAGGCCTCAGCCCCCAGGACAGCTCCCCAGAACCTCCCTCTCTAGAAGCCAGCCAGGCCAGGGGTGTTCAGAAAGGCCGAGAGAGGCAAGGGACAAGGGAAGGTGGGCAGGTCCTGCCGGACAGGGCCAGCTGCAGCCAGGGCACACTCACCCCCGTACTGGTAGATGGTGTTGGGGTGTGGCTGTGTGTAGAAGCAGGAGCAGATGAGCGACAGCACCGACAGTTCCTTCATCTTCTCCTTGTAGGCTGCGGGCACAAGCCAAGCTGAGCAGGCACCCTCACCCCCACTGCCCAGTCCTGCCCCCTAGGCCCCCATTTTTCCCTCTGCTCCCTGCCTCTGCCAACTGTCCCTGTGGGATGCATGGCCGCTCACCACGCCCTCTTTTGTGTCCACATCTCTGACCCTCTACACCCCTAGCCTGGGGCTCTGACTCCCCCGAGCATTGCTCCCTTCTGGTTCTCTCTGTCTCTGCCTCGCTTTCCTCTCCCCCGTCTCTATCTCTGCATGTCTGCGAGTCTCGCTCTTCTGTGCTGGTCTGTGTCCCCGTCCCCATCTTTTGCTCTTGTGTATGCTTCTCCCTGCCTGCTGTGGTCCGAATGTTTGCGTTCCCCCCAAATCCGTGTGTTGAAACCCTGCCCCCAGCATGACGGTGTTAAGAGGTGGGGCCTTTGGGGGTGACCAGGAGGGTGGGGCTCTCCTGAATGGGATGACAGGGACCCCAGAGAGACCCCTTGCTGAGGACGCAGCAAGAAGACAGCTGCCTGCCTGCGTACCAGGAAGCAGGCCCTCAACGGGCACCAAATCTTGATCTTGATTTCCCAGCCTCCAGAACTGTGAGAAATAAATTTCTGTTGTTTATAAACCACCACCCCGTCTCAGGTGTCTTGTTAGAGCAGCCCAAACAGGCTAAGACTCTGCCCCTATCTCTCTGGGTCTCTGTTCATCCTTCTCTTTCTGGCTCCGTCAGTCACTGTCTGCGTCTTTCTGTCCTGGGGGGGGGGTGTCTCTTTCTCTCAGAGTGTCTCTTTCTGACTCTCATCCTCTCATCTCCCTCTGCCCCACCTGCTTCTGCCTCCCTCTTCCTCGTTGCCTCTCACCCGCTGGCTCAGGTAGATGAGGTTGACCACACTCGTGACTGGGGCCAGACAGCCACAAAGCCTCTGTGAGCAGCTCTTTCTTGGGCCGCAGACTTGGACCCAGACCCTCCTCTGTCCTCTCTGATGTGAGAGTGGCCACCCCAAGATGAAACAAGGCCCTCACCAGACACACACTCACTGCCCATGTGAGGCTGGCCTTGGGCCCTGATGCCATGTAGGACAAAGGCAAGGGAGCTGTCCGTTCAGCACCACAGCTGGACTTCTTGCCCTTTCAGACCAGGTGCCCATGAGCCACCGTCTCAGCTGCCCACTGTGGCCCTGAACCCTCTCAGAGGAAGGGGAAGATGCCTGCTCCCAGAATGAAAATAATACAGCTCTTCATGGTCTATTCCCCGTGAGCCACACTCCAAAGTGAGCCCAACAAAGTCACCCTGTTCAACCGGGACAGCAGTGCTGGGGTGACATGCCCAGTGTCCCTGGAAGTGCAACCTCAGGTGCTCTGTGCTGTTCCCACCACGCCAGCAGGTCCCAATGACTAGGAGGCTCTGGGCCCCATGTGCCCCGCCCATGTCCACAGCAGGAGCAGGCAGAGGGCTCAGAGAGACACTCTAGGCAGAGGGAATCTGGCATCCTTCAAGGGGATGGACAAGAACCTGGACAAGTGTCCACATGGAGAAGAAACCTTTGGATCAAGTTTCGCATAAGATAATGTTTTTAAACCAAGTTGATGTGAAATTGAGAAAACTATTGGTATAGAAACAGGACACCTGCTGAAAGAGTCGAGCCTTTCATTTGAGCTGGGACCGCCTGAGACCATCAGAATGGTCCCACTTGATTTAAATTTCCTGGTGTCCCAGACTGTTCTGGAGAGAGCAGCATGGAGCCCAGCAGGCTGCAGAAGGAGCAGAGAGGAACCCTGCAGTGAGCAAGCACCAGGGAGAGCCTTGGAGGAGGACCAGCCTTAGAGGGGAAGCAGGGCAGACACACACTGTGGCCATTTTCATCATGGATGGACAGGGAGGAGGCCTCACAGGGGATTTGGGCTGATTCATCAGGTTTTATTTTTTTTTTTTACAAGAAAAACCTATTTGTGTATTATTTGTATTAAGAGTTAGTTTTAAAAAGGAGGAAGAGGCCCAGCATAGTGGCTCACGCCTGTAATCCCAGTACTCTGAGAGGCTGAGGTGGGAGGACCACTTGAAGTCAGGAGTTGGAGACCAGCCTGGGCAACACAGCAAGACCCCAGCTCTACAAAAAATATAAAAATTAGCCAGGTGTGGTGGTGCACATCTATAATCCCAGCTACTCGGGAGGCTGAGGGAGGAGGATCACTTTAGCCCAGGAGTTGGAGGCTGCCATGTGCTGTGATGACAGCCCTCTAGCCTGGGCAACAGGGGGAGACTGTCTCAAAAAGAAAAGAACAAAAGAAGAAGAGAGGTACCCCAGGATGTGTGGTAAGGGAGTCAGAGGGTGTGACAGCAGCTGGGCAGCAGCAGGTCAGGAGACTCAGGGGACGTTTGGAGGAGCCAGCCCTGTGCTGGGGGTGGGGGAGGGGACAAGAGGGAGTCTGGGCTGGAGGGGAAGAGACCTGGGTCCTGAGAGAGGGCAGGAAGGAGAGGACTTGGCCCCTCCAAGTCCAGCTGTGCCAGCACCCACCTCCCTGCCAACAGCCCCCAGGCCCCAATCTTGACCTTTCGGATCATCCTTCCTCATCACATGTCAAATACCCTGAATGGGTCTACTTAACATGCCAGCACTCTGGGACCTGACAGCCGCTCAAAGCTCTCTCTGCCGTGAGCCTGAAATTTTCACCGGAAGAAGAGCTGCAAATTTGTTACAGAGGAAAAGTTTAAGGACAAACAGCAGGGAGGCTCCCTTCCAGTTAGCTGTCACTCAGCATGGGGAGGGGGGCCGGCAGAATCTGGGGGGCAGGTGTGAGCACCTGCATCATCAGGAGAGAAGCAGGGGAGCAGCTGCTGACATAGGTCAGAGCTCTCGAAGGTCATGGCTCTGACCTGGGGCCAGGCGCGGCTCTGCATCTGACGGTCATGGAGCTTCCCTGATTTTGTTTCTTCTACACTGATGGCCCGAGAGGCACTTCCTTCCCGGAAGACTGACCCTCACGGAGCAGATGAGACAGGACTGCGCAGGAAGGGCCTGGGAGTGAGGCCCGCCCAGTGGCCTGGCCGCAGGAAGTAGAGGAGGTGGGAGGGCCAGGCAGGGAAGGAACCCGCACACTTCAGAAAGAATGACCAGGGGGAGCCTGCCCACGGGCTGGTGGAGAACAGGGCCAGGGCTGGCCACGGTGCAAGGCGGGAGGTCATATATGTATTTTCAGAGCTGGAGAGGCTTAAGGAGCAGGACTTCTGCCTCTCATTGCAGAGGAGGAGGCTGAGGCCCAGACCCATCCAGGCCACCTCTCCACGGACACAGCTCAAGGCACCCCTCCCCCCTGGCTTCCTCCTTTCTGACCCCCCACCCAGGATTTTTCTCTTCCCCTCCACTGACTGCGGGGAATCATTTAGAAAACAATTCTCTGCCAAGAGCTGGGTTGCTTTCATCTCTCTCCTCCACTTCATATTTATTGAATGTTAAAAGTGCATATTGCTGGGGGAAGGGGGGGAAATGGGCATTTATTGAAACCTTAAAATCTGTACCCCCATAATATGCCGAAATTAAAAAAAATTAAAAAGTGCATATTGGCCTTTTGAATGATCAGATCCTACATATGCAGGAGCAAGAAAAAGGCACCAGGTTGGCCTGTGACAGCATGGTGACAGTAATCGCTGCTCCCAGGCGTGGGAGCATCACACACATCCTCCCAGCTGACCCGCAGGTCCAGCCAGCCAAGGCGGATGCCTTTATCAGCCTTAATTCTACCAAGGAGGGAAAGAGGCTCAGAGAGGGCAAGTGGCCCACCCAGAATCACACAGCATGCCAGGGTAAGAGCCCAGTCACGAACCTGGACCTTTGATTGCATGCATATTCCTGTTAGGAGCCTCGTTAGGGAGGGTCTATCCAGAACTGGGAGGGCACGGGCGGCCGCAAATGTCCACTCACCCCTGGAAGGGCCCTGGAGGTTGCTGCGGACTGTTCCCCGACAGACGTAGCTCACTGTCACCCAGGCTGCCCCTCTGTCACTGGCCAGCTGCCTCAGACAGTGTTGAGACAGCTGGTGGGAACCACCAGGAGATCTGCCTTTCTCCGAGCAGACTGGGAAATATGGCTACAGCGGTCAGGCTGACTGGCATGGAGCGGGCACCCGCCTCTTGATAGGCAATGGGCCGAGCATCCCTCCTAAACTGTCTCATTCAACCCTCAGAACAAGCTCAGGCCGGGGGTGCTGTCACTATCCTCTCCCTCCAGATGGGGAAACTGAGGCCCTGAGGGGTTAAGGCTCAAGGAGATGGGACTGAGTTGCATAAGGAGCTGAAAATGAGCCAGAGCCCACAACAGTGTGAGGGACACGGGGTGCCCGGAGGGTGCCAGGAGATGACCAGGCCATCCAAAGTGAGCCCCGCCAGTGGAGCCGGGGGGGGGGGGGGGGGGGGGGGGGGGGAGGGTGCAGGCCCAGGCGGCCAGCAGGACCTGCAGCCAGGTCTCAGCGTGGGTCGGGCCGTGGAAGGGACGGAGCCACCCTCAGGGGCAGGAGGAGGTCCCAATCTGCTGAGAGTCTGTCCCAATGTCTGTAGGGGTGTGTGTGACCGGGAGAGGCAGGATGAAGCCCAGATGGACAAGATCCTCAGAAAGGGTGTGGAGAGATGTCTGATACTCTGATACACACTGTCCCCTCCTGGACAAGTACAGAGGTCACCTGGAGTCTCCCAGCACACCGGGCCTGAGGGGCGGGGCACACGTGGGCAGGCGGAGTCTGGGGGAAGGGGACAGGGACCTCAGGAGAGAACCCCGGTAGCTAGGGAGAGGGGACCTTGGTGACCTGTCCCCAGGGCAGATGGAACGGGGGAGAGAGCCTGGTTCTTGGAGAGAGCGGAGATGGGAAGGAGATGAGGGGGGCTTTCCAGTGGAGCAGAGCACCCGGGGTAGGGTGAACCCCTGCAACCAGTATCCGCCCTGCGCCTGTGCCCGCCACCCAGCCAGAGCCCTCCGGAGACTGAGACGCAGACCAGGAGGGCGGAGGGCGGCAGCGCGGGAGGCGGGGAGGGGAGGGAGGAGCAGACCCCCTCGAATCTTGGGTTTGGAAATGGCAGCAGCCCTTCTTCAATCCGAACCCCACGGTGCAAAGGGCGGTGGCTTTTCCTTTTTCCTGCTAGAGCAGGTGGCTCTGGCGTCGCAGAGGATAGTCCCGAGCCCGCAGCAATGCGGGGCGGGGGGCGACGAGGCGAGGCACCGGCGCTGCCCGCTCGCTCCGGTCTCCAGCGGGCTCTGGTCTCCCTCCTCCACCCCCCGCGCGCTTCGCTGGCGCAGGGACCTCCCGGTTCTCCGCAGGGGCTCTTGCGGAGGGTCCCGCCCTCTCTCCTCCTCCCCACGAAGGCACAGTGGGCCCAAGGTCTAAGGTCGCCAGGCGTCTCAGGGGACACCGCCCCTGCACGCCAGCGCGCCCATCCCGGGTCACGAGCCAGCGCCCGGGCCACACTGCCGCAGTCCTGCCCTGCCTGGCACAGCGGCGCCCCAAGGGCCAATGTGCCCCCGCGCCCGCCGCCCCCATCCAGAGCGCGGCCCTTGCCCAGTGGCCCACACCCGCCCTGCGGTCGCCGCAGTCCCTGCCCTTGGGGCACCGGGTCGCCCAGACCCACGGCTCCTGCAGGTCCGGCCCAGCCTCGCCACGCGCAAGGCCCCAGTCGGGAAAACCGAGTCCGCAACCAGCTCCTGCGTCAGCCGAGGCCAGACAATGGCCCCAGCTCAGACCCCTCGCCGCCTCAGGAAGCCCGCGGCCAGGGGCGCCTACCCGACATGGTGCTGGCCATGGTGCTGGCGGCGGCGGGCGCTGCGGAGCCGGAGAGACGCGGGCGGCGGCTGGAGCTGCAGTCCGTGGCTGCTGCAGTGCCGGGGAGGGGAGGGAGCGCGCGCGGGCGGGAGGCGGGGAGGGAAAGAGAAGGAGACAGAGAGGGAGGGGTGGAGAGAGAGGGAGAGAAGGGTGGAGAGAGAGAGGGAGAGAGAGACAGAGAAGCGCCTCGATGCGCCTGTCACCAGGAAAGGGTGGGGGAGGGAGGGGAGGAGGGAGGAGGGGGCGTGTGCCGTGAGATGCCCAACCTCTGACCGCTCACAGCCCTGGACCCGCTGCGCCCCCGACTCGGCTTTGTGCTCAGGGTGGGGTTGGGTGTGGAGGGGACGGTGGAGATAAGCCCGGTTCCCCAGGGTGGGCGGAGCAAGGAGGAGGGGAGGGGTCCACTACAGGGAAGGGTCGTAGAGCCCTTCGCCAAGGCCTCAGAGGCTGGGACGGTGCCTATTGTGTGTGTCCAGGTGCTCTGAGAGGAGAGGATGTCAGGTAACACGGGGTGGGTGCTGGCCTGGAAGCCCTCCAAGGGGCATCTCCTCTGAGCCCAGAGGCTGGGCGGGCCCTGAGCAGAGACCAAGCTAAGTGGACACGGTGAGGCTAGAACAGGGCTTTGGAAGAGATAGAGGTGGGTCTCAATCCCACGGGCTGTGTGACCCAGCCTCAGTTTCTCACCTCTCTGGGCCTCTGTTCCGAGGGTGTAAGATGAGACAACGGTGCCAGGACCCAGTGGAGAGGTGCCGGAGCTGAGTGTGTGAACTTAGTGAGGTGGGGGGCACCTGTCCTGCCTCCTGCTCTCCTCGCATCCCCAAAGTGTGCCTGGCAGACAGATGGAGTGCCACCCCAGTCTTAGGGACGGAGGCCCTGAGGCATAGCAGAGTGCTTGCCCCACAAGCAATTGTGTGGTAGGGCTGGGATAAAACCCTGGGAAAGGCCGGGCGCGGTGGTTCACGCCTGTGATCCTAGCACTCTGGGAGGCCGAGGTGGGTGGATTGCTTGAGGTCAGGAGTTCTAAACCAGCCTGAGCAAGCAGAAGGATTACTTGAGCCAGAGTTTGAGGTTGCTGTGAGCCAGGCTAACACCACAGCACTCTAGCATGGGCAACAGAGTGAGACTCTGTCTCAAAAAAATAAAATAAAATATCCAAGTGGTGTAACCGACTCCACAAGCAAAACAACATTTTTTATAGTTTTTGTTGTTGTTTTTGTACTACTCTTATGTTTCAAGCTCCCAGGCCAGTAAAATTTACTGACCAGAACTGTGTAACTTCCTTTTGATTTCTTTCCCAGAAATGGCGGGCCTCTTGTAGTCACTAGGTAACTACAAAGCCTTACACCACTGTTTGACTGGAGAAGACAAGATAAGTGATGCCCCACCACAGATTGTCCCCAAGGACACACTGAGCCTGGGCACAAGGCTGAAAGAATGACCAGTGTTAACCCCCAGCTCATTATAATACTGAAATCCCCACCCTGTGAGGGACTTACCTGCCATTTTTTGATCACGGGATGTATGCGTTAGCGTGCTTCCTCACTGCACTTGCATGCCCTGCCATCCACCCAAACATATAGTGATGTCCCCTCCCTTCATGCACTATTCATTTCACCTCCAGAAAAACCTCTGACCCTGGTGTCCGGGAGGCAGATTCTGCAGTATCCATAACTTCACCTACCAATTGGGCTCCAGCTGTAAAAACGCTTTCTTCCTTGACAACCCTTGCTGTCTCAGTAATTGGCTTTCTGTGTGGTGAGCAACAGCAAACCCCCTTGTGGGTGCGTTAACAATGGCTGCTCCTCGGCCGGGTGCGGTGGCTCACACCTGTAATCCTAGCACTCTGGGAGGCCGAGGCGGGTGGATTGGCGGGTGGATTGGTGGAGGTCAGGAGTTCAAAACCAGCCTGAGCAAGAGCGAGACCCCATTCTCCACTGTAAATAAAAGAAAATTAATTGGACAACTAATATGTATATAGAAAAATTAGCTGGGCATGGTGGTGCACGCCTATAGTCCAGCTACTTGGGAGGCTGAGGCAGGCAGGATCACTTGAGCCCAGGAGATTTAGTTGCTGTAAGCTAGGCTGACGCCACGGCACTCATCTAGCCTGGGCAACAAAGTGAGGACCTGTCTCAAAGAAAAAAAAAAAAAAAGATGGCTGCCTTGCCCAGCCCTGTCTCTGGCGACCCTGACCACCTCCTCTCCTTACACTCCCCAGTCCAGCGCTGTTCCAATCAGTGTACCCGACTGGTCAGGGCCTTCTGAGTCCTCGAACCTAGCACTAGCTGACAGTCAATGGGGGATTCCAACAGAGAGGTCTGCACAGCTCTGTGTGGTCAGCCCGGCCATCAGAGATGTCTCAGGTGACCTCAGCAGTCACCCAAAAGACACTAGGAGGAAGTTGATGCTGCAGTGACAGCCCATGGCCAGCAGCCAACATTAATAGTTCAGATGCTTTCCCACGATGGCA